AAGGGATAGTTCAGAAAAAAAAAAAAAAATGCTGTTAATTTACTCATCCAAGATGTAGGTGACTTTCTTTCTTCAGTAGAACAGTACAGATGATTTTTTAGCAGAAACCATGCTCCTTGGTGAGTCATATAATGCAAGTATAATGCAAAAAAGCATATCAGGTAACACTAAATTAATACCGTGACAATATATTGAGGTCTTAAGTAATGAAACAATCAGTCTGTGCAAGAAACTGAACATTATTTAAAAAAATATTTAACCTGTAAAAATGTATTACCTGTAATCCATAACTACAGGCAAATTGGTAAATCCGATTCTTTTCTGTGAACTGGTTCTTTTGGACGGTTTGTTTCAATAAACTGGTTCAAATAACTGACACAAAGTATAGACATTTATTAAAGCACCCCATAATGATGCCAAACATGGATGTTCTGGTGTCTGTCATCCTGTGCTGATCCGTCATTTTTCATTGTGTGTGTTTCGTGTCTGCATGTGGTGCAGTTTTGAGCCTGCCTGTCTGTTTTTCCCCCTCGGGGTGGTTTGAGTTTTTTTTTGTTTCATTTTTATTATTAAAATAAAATACCATTTCTCCAGCGATTGAGTCCTCGCTTCATCTCCCTGCACGCACCGTGACAATTCCGTCTTACGCAGTAAATTCCATTCCGCGATTCCTGCATTGAATCGCAGAGAGCCCTATGATTTCTGCATTGCAGTTTTAAGGGCATAAAGAGTCAAACATGTTTCATATTTCCTGCCTGCTCTCACAGATTCATTGCACACTGTAATCCTAATTTATTTTCACAATACCTATTGTATTCTCATTGCTTATCGATAGTACATCCGTTATCTAGCATCTGCTTTTTTTTGTGTCACTGAGCATCATACTCACAGGGAAATGTCACTCTGGCGATATCACTCTTGTGCCGTATTGAACTCGTTTCAGAGGATTGCTTTATTTTACCCAAGGCTAAACTGTAAGGATTCATTTTGTCATCATTTACTTACCCTCATGTTGCTGAAAACCCATATAATAATTTTCAGTCTTCAGTGTCTGAGCTGCTCTTTTTCACACGATGACAGCAGACATTTTCAGGCTCTAGAAAAGACAAAACACAATTTACCAGTTTCCAAATCTCCAAATTTGCTGCCTCAAGATGTGTTGAGCCAGGTTTGATGTCAATAATGTCAAACGCCAGTTTGAATTTCAGTTTATCTTTTTGAATGAGATTTGAAAGCCGCAATGAAATATAACTCTTTTCCTCACACAACACGATCATATGATTTCAGAAGATGTGGAATGTTGACATGTTGAACGAATTGCTCTTATTGTTTTTTTTGTTTTTTTTTTATGGTGCATTTTTGGGTTAAATAATTTGTGCTTGTATATTTAATCATGCAAAGTTACATTTTAAGTATAGACATTTATTAAAGCACCCCATAATGATGCCAAACATGGATGTTTTACATGTCTAAAGCATATAAAGTGAATAAACTAGTCTTCATCAGCTCACATTTTTTTAAATACTGTAAACATTGAGAAACCATAAACCGTTCATTTCACCCCTTCATTCAAGTGCTGGGTTCACTCATGCTCATATCAGCGGCTCATCGGTCTTCGGTCCGAGTCAAACTGTTTCCTGACTGAACAAGCATCTTTTAAATAACCTTTTAAGAGTTCCCACTCTTTTGTTTTGATTCAGTAATAATTGATTCAGTAGTCTTGTGAACTGGTTCGACATGCACATCACACAAATCACGCATCTCTGTGACTTGCAAAAAACAATACGGTTTTTGTTTTTTATTGCAAATTAAGTGACAGCTTGCACATTGTTAAAGCAGTTACGCTAGTATCATAGACAATAAATACCGCACATCCCTAGTTGCAAGTAAATGTGGCACAACCCTTTTTTTTATACATCTTGTCCTCCATGCACAGCTTAACGTGCAAACTGAACTGCTGTGGCTTCTCTTTCAAACGGCTTGATTTTATTGATGAGATCTGCAGAAAGCACATCAGACGAGCATGAAGCAATTCCCACAGTGTTATCAGAAATACAGGAGCAAAAAGAGAGCTGCCCCTGAGAGCAAAGATCCCTCTAAAATGGTAATGTTCCCGGCTTACTTCCACTGGGACATTAATGAGGATCGACCTGGAGAAGAGGATCTACATTCCTCTACAGCTGAAGATCAGCCTCAGGGAAACTGAAGTGGCCAGCATCTGTGGAGATGCATGAGTGATGGTGATGTGACAGAGAATGCAGGTTTCTGAGCCTGGAGGAGATAAGGGCTCTGATCTCTGATCAAGATGGTCAGCATGGAGGACACTGCGCTCACACTTAATACCCTGCATAGGCTCCAATACTGAGCTTTTTTGCCAGTTTGGATATGCTTGGATATGTTTGTTTATTGCTTGCTGTAATGCGCATGTCTGATTATTTGATATGTGCACATTACATCCCTTACCAAAAAGAAGTATACTTTAAGTTTATTTTATTAAGTATACTTAAGTAAAGTTCAAGTATACTTTATGTAGTAAGTATACAAATATCAGTGTACTAGTAGTATACTTGTAAGTGTACTATTTCAGTACTCATTGGGACTTTCTTGTTAGTATATAAAAGTATACTTTTAAGTATACTTTAAGTATAACAGTAGTAAACTTTGAGTACACAACTAGTTTACCTTTAGCTTGTACTGCAACTATACTAAAAGTGAACTTAAAGGTATACTGATAGTTTACTAATTAGATACTTGTAACATTTTTAGTACACTTTTAAGTATAGTCTCAGTAAACTAATCGTTTTGTAGTTTTACACTGCAAGTATACTCGTAAGTTCTTTAAGTGAACTTTACATCATACTTTAAGTATACTACTATGTCCCTATTTAGGTATGAATTTGTATGAATTTTGTTACATGAATATCTGAACACACAAAACATCAAAAGAACAGGGTATCTGCTTGTAAACAAAAACATTTTATTCTAGCTTCATGCATTCTTTTTTATAAACATTTAAATGTGGGTAAGTTTCATAAATAAAAAAGAATAAATAAATAAATAAACAACAAAAAGCTGAAAAAAGACTATGAATTGGATTCAGAATGATGATCCAAAAGCTTGACAATCATTATTACCTCTTCATGGGTCAACATTTTATTTCACAACGTTACACAATTTTGATGCTGTTTTATGTCTGATGATCATGTTAGATTATGTGTGAAAGCATCTGTTGTTTTTCGGTTTCTTCTTCGCTGTTTCTGTGTTTTGGAAATTCTGTACAGAAGATGTGTAATAGCGCCCCCTAATGTATAGCAATGAAAACATTCTCGGAGAACAAGTAGGCTGTAGCTCAAATAAATTTTGACTTTTTCTAAGTATAAGTCAGGTGTACTTAAATGTCATTTTAAGAATATTTCTGAGAAGTACATAAAAGTAGACTGAAAGTATACTTTCCTATTTTTTTGTTTAAAAGAAGTATACTAATAACACACTTGAATAAACTTCTTTTTCGTAAGGGATGTGCATGTCTGATTATTTGACATAATCAGACATGTACATGTAAAGTGGTCTGTGCTGTATATTTTAACTTCGAATTTTCTGGTGTACTACATGTAAACCTGTAGGCTTTACTACTAACCAGTGAAATAGTTAGCTTTGTTTTGGAGTCAGATAGGGCTGTTCTCATATTTATAGATTATATCTTAATATTTTCCCCTTTTCTTTTGCAGCAATATGGAGGAGCTGAAAATAAAGTCAAGCAAAGTAAGTCCAAACTTGCATATTTATAATGATGTTCTTGTGCATTCTGGTTCAAGCATGTTATGGGAACGGTTGCTTTAGCCTCAAGAAGTTGACATTTGTTTTAAAATCTTTTGTTTCACAAATAAAAACAATGGCTAACTGCTATTTAAATTGAGTTTGTGCATCAGCCTGGGGTGCTTCCATCAGCATCTTTAAGTTCGTCTTAAAATCAGTGGCCCAACGGTGCGTGCATGAGATGGCTAATGGAAAACCAAAGGATACTTTAGGGATCTCAGGGATTTAATTTGGGATCGTGGGTTGATACACTAGGGAATTCTGGCTGAATGTAGGTATTATATTGGCTGTTGTGTGTCTCAAACAGGCCAGCGCCACTCCACACATCGCTTATGTGTCTCTGGTAGTGCTGTGGAGCGGTAATGATTTCTGTATTGATTGCAGCGCGTGCTTTGACCTTGCCAAATCAAAAATAACCTTTGCACATCTTTATGGCCATTGTATTGGAATGAAATGATTGCCTGAGAGCTGTTGTAGCTAGCAAACTAACACATTCAAATACAAGGGTGTTATTAAATAGTATTAGTGAAATTATTAGGCACTTTTTCTTTTTCAGTTTAAAAGAAAAAGTGCCTAATAATTCTGCACACCTAAATATAAGGAGTTTTTCACTTCCAGCCTTCATGGACAATTATATATCACTTATAAATGATTAAATACAAAACTAATAGTAGTTATTAAGATTGATGTGGTTTGGAATTGGTAAAATGAGCTTGGAAAAAAATATGATCAGAATATCAACGTGCATAATAATTATGCACACACTGTATAAACTTAAACTAAAATACATTTAAATGTATATAAAAGAAAATATGTGTCTGAAAACATTATATTCAGTTCACACTTGAACGTTCTTTTTTTTTTCTCGCAAAAAGTACTCTTTTTTTTAAAAGTGTAAAAATTCTTGTTTAGAAGTAATTTATCCCTTCAATGTATAGTTTGTAGAAACAACAATGTTAAAGGAGGAACTGCTTTTGATGTTTTAGCATGTTGATTCGGATTTGAACTACGTTTGCAAAGGAACTCTTACTTCCACGGATTTACACCTGGCTGAGCGTAGCAGATCAAAAGCTTAACAAAAATCAGTTGGAGAAAAAGTTTCCCATCATTTGTGGTGCAAACAGACAGACAGACAACTTCTCCAGTGTGTCAGAAATATGCAAATGATGTGTTGATTTCCCCTTAGGGACTAATTATTCACTGGCTTCGGACTAAACTTAACAAAACATGCAGTGGCATGTCTGATTTTTCTTTCCGCGGCTGGCATCACGTTACCTTCTTATACACGCGTATCTGCGTATCGCGGCACGTTATCTCACTTTCCCTGCCTTCCAGAGAGGCCTCTTTGTTGTCATGTCTGTGCGTCTCGCTTCCAAAGGCTGGCATTAATCAGACTGCCCCAGTTTCTGAACGCCTCGCGTCTACCCAACCACCCAGCCACTTGAGCGGATGACCAAACGATAACAGGGCAGGCTGACAGCCTTTTGGCTTCCACACAAATCATAAATAAATAACGTGCCGCAGGCAGCACGCCGAAAAGGTCACTCAAGAAGAAAGACAGGAGAAAGCCTGCACTTTTGTGGCAGACACAATGCACAATCAAATCTCCCGCATTCAGCGGCTGAACCATCAGGATTCATTTGGCCTTGAAATCACAACGAGAGGTTTGTTATTGTCGCGAATTAAACGATATCATGAGGCAAAGCCCATTAGGGAGCCCTCTGGTTCGTTTCTACACTAATTGGAAGGGAATTCGATAAGGCGCAGCACCTCGCTTATGCGTCTGGGTCACGGCAGAGCGTAATGGATAGAGAGTTCAGGAAAACGGAGGCATGGTCTTGTTAGTCTTAGATCCCAGGCCTGAACTAATAAACCAATCGGTCGCATCCCCATTACAACATAATGCACGTGACGAAACGGCTCTGTAATGTAATAATGTACTAACTACAACAGCGGCCCTCTATACTCGCATCAAATAAGGACGTAAATGGAGAGCAGATGACATCTGACTACAGCGCCACCCCTCTTAACAACAAGTTCACAACCTCCATACCAGTGTTATTTTACTATCATTGATATACTATTATATAGGGATGCACTGATTAGTATTGTGCGGTGGCCGAGAAGTGCAAAGCAAATCACAATTCTGAAAACAAAATACAGTAGCTCTCTGACATTCAGGGCAACAGACAGATATTACTGTGCAGTATCAGTCATATGTCACTGTCAGATTACTGGAGAATAACTCTCCAGAGGTGTGTAATTATATTATCCCTGGGTCCAATAAAGTTTTCACGGCTCATAGTCCATAAAATTCAGAAACCAAAATCAGCAAGCCATCAGAAACGAATCATAATGTTGAATTATGATGGCCAACGTTGAGCTTGTGAGTCGAGGTGAGAATCTTAAGGCATTTAACTGTTCTCGTTCCACTTAATGATTCTTAGCAAACTACAATATGTTTGTGTTATTGTGTATTTCCAATACCCTTTGTTATAACAGGACTCTGTTCTAAATGTGTATTTGAAAATACTGTATATATTGTCAAATGAACAACTAGTGAGTGATTAGACTCGTTTATGTAAGTTCATTTGGAATGAGAAATAATAAGGAGCAGTTTGTGTAAATGACCATCATGTAAAGTTATCTAACAGGCAAAACCCATGGTAGGAATGTTGCATGTATATCAGCCTCTCTCCTAAACGGGTTAACACTACAAGAAGAAGAAAATACAAACTGACTAACCATATTCAGAAGTCATTTCTCACTTCAGTTAAAGAATTTAATTGGAGCACAAAATGTTTTGAGACAACAGACTGTTTGCGAGAGAGACTTCAAACATCATATGAACAGCAACCTGTTCATATGAGCACATGTAGCTGTAATTTATTAAGTTTTGACCACTAGGGGGTGTAGTGCCAGGATGTCACATAAGTTTAAGTTAATAAGAGAAAGACAGCCTAATTTCAGTGAGCTGATGCATTACACGCTAACAGTTTGATATGAAAAATCTCTTGCTGGTAATGTTTCTTATGAACGATTGTAATGAATTTAAAATTATGTCAATTATCAGACCTACTGAAACCACTGGTAATTGATGGAGAAACAGGACCCAAAAAAATCAGAGAAAAAAAAAATAGGGATGCACAATATTGATTTTGCCGATATTTTTCCACTCATTTCGGCCGATACCGATACCGATATATTTCCTTTCGTTTGGAAACAACACCAAGTCTCTCCTGTGCAGAGATTATAAACAAATTATTTTTAATCTTGGTTAGATTTGTAAGGAGCCCGGGAAGTCACCTGTAGAAAAAAAACAAAACAATTTGTGGCGACAGTTTTGCAATTCGTCCCCTCAGTTTATAAACCGTACTCACAAATTCTTAAACTGTTAACAAATCGTGTCCATGGATTAATAAACCGTACACATGAATTTCCAATCCATAATATTTTATTAAAAGTAGGCCTACAGTGCTTCCTAAATAAATAAAACTCCTTACTGTCAAACATCCTTCAGGCAAAAGTTCGCTTCAAGAATGAGCACACTGCTGATGTGATGTTATCGCTAGCACACCCTGAGCACATGTGAGTTGTTCTTATTAGCAAGGCATATCAGCATAATTTTTCCTATCGGGCCGATGACGATGTTTACATTTTAAGCCTTTATCGGCAGATTCTGATAGCATTCCAATAATATTGTGCATCCCTAAAAACAAAAAATGAATGAGATACTTTGAGCTTTTGGAGGCGCTACAGTAGTTACCATTTGAAGTGGATCAAAAATGTTCATTAAAGATTTAATCAACAATATCTTAATTTGTGTTCCGAATTTGAACGAAGGTCTTACGGATTTGGAACGACACGATAGTGAGTAATTAATGACAGAATTTGAATTTTTGGGTGAACTAACCCTTTAATGATTCTTAGTACCTTTGAGGACACAAACTGCATTGAGCATACAGTCTAAAAACAAATATTTTGGCTAAACAAATATGAAATGTAATGGTTTGCTTCTTACTTGAGTTGCTTGAGAATATCTTTTTTAGTTATGCGGCCTTGTGGCCTTGAAATAATCTACACAGGTTTTGGGTTTATTCCAGAAACATCCACAGTACCTCTCTGACATTCAGGGCAACAGACAGATATTACTGTGCAGTATCAGTCATATGTCACTGTCAGATTACTGGAGAATAACTCTCCAGAGGTGTGTAATTATATTATCCCTGGGTCCAATAAAGTTTTCACGGCTCATAGTCCATAAAATTCAGAAACCAAAATCAGCAAGCCATCAGAAACGAATCATAATGTTGAATTATGATGGCCAACGTTGAGCTTGTGAGTCGAGGTGAGAATCTTAAGGCATTTAACTGTTCTCGTTCCACTTAATGATTCTTAGCAAACTACAATATGTTTGTGTTATTGTGTATTTCCAATACCCTTTGTTATAACAGGACTCTGTTCTAAATGCGTATTTGAAAATACTGTATATATTGTCAAATTAACAACTAGTGAGTGATTAGACTCGTTTATGTAAGTTCATGTGGAATGAGAAATAATAAGGAGCAGTTTGTGTAAATGACCATCATGTAAAGTTATCTAACAGGCAAAACCCATGGTAGGAATGTTGCATGTATATCAGCCTCTCTCCTAAACGGGTTAACACTACAAGAAGAAGAAAATACAAACTGACTAACCATATTCAGAAGTCATTTCTCACTTCAGTTAAAGAATTTAATTGGAGCACAAAATGTTTTGAGACAACAGATTGTTTGCGAGAGAGACTTCAAACATCATATGAACAGCAACCTGTTCATATGAGCACATGTAGCTGTAATTTATTAAGTTTTGACCACTAGGGGGTGTAGTGCCAGGATGTCACATAAGTTTAAGTTAATAAGAGAAAGACAGCCTAATTTCAGTGAGCTGATGCATTACACGCTAAC